GGTCGGCGAACACACCTACACGAAAAGATAAATCGCTCTCCCAAAACCCCCATTTAATTCCCGACCGTAACACTATTATAGCTAAAGAAAATATCAATACAAAAAAATAAGCACACAATATGCACAACTCGAGCAGTATGGGGGCGGGAAAACCAATGACTATTCAAGTGGCTCAGATGTTTATAGTGATAATATATCTGAAAGAATTGCAGTGACTATGGTTCCAACTATGAGTCAGATAATGAAACCAATACTATTGAGACTCCAGTACCCCAACCCCCTAAAGTAGAAGAACAAATGTCTAATACGACATATTCCACAGAGCAATTGAGTCCCACATATTCTAGAAGGCAAGAAAGATTCGATGATAAATTTACTCAAAAAGATTTGCTAAATAAAATTTGTAAAATTGCATCATCTCCCACTGAAGATATATCGAAAAATAAAGGTTCATTGGAAGATGTACATTTATGGGACTATCTATTACCTAATTATGGGGCAAAGAATGGGATTAGTATATTAGATGCATATAAGAGAGAGGAATTAGCCAATAAATTGGTTATTCAGATAGTATTAGTAATAAATGTAAAAGAGGTCTTACTTGCCATGGTGTTCTTGATGTGAGAGGAATTTCTGCATGATTGACATGAAAGTAGCAAGTACAAGGTAGACCACCAGAATCTTTTACAAGAACATTTAAATATACATCCTCACCAGATACCTGAATTCCTACTATGCCAAATTGGTTGCTGAGTGGTCTACATGCCAGGTTAACAAAACTTATACCATCCAAAGTTTCTCACCATAGCTTCACTTCATCATCAGCTTTTTTTGTATCATTTGTAATGATACATGAACACTCCATATATATATATGCAATCTCATTGATTTTCCCTTCATATTTTACTAACACCATGGCATCTGGTTTTTTTCCCATCCATTCTTTACTTACCTCACCAAGATTCTTTCAGAATTTGCTTGCCAAACTCTGTCGTTCTGCCCTTTAATAAAAATCTAATTCAAATATCCAAGTATTTATTAGGGAATAAAGTATTTTTAAAACTCCACTTATGTGCTTAAGCAAATTCTTCCATTCGGCATATCTTCTAAACTAGCTCGAAGCAAAGGCATTATTACATCTTTAACATAGGTACCTTCACTTTGCTCTTTACAAGTTGAGCTATTTTCAAAGGCAGGATTATTCCAAACATTTCCACTAGCGATAATGGAGATTATAAGAAATTAATTTTAATTAACTTTATAAGAAAAAAAACTACTTACAGTATACTCAATATGCATCCAGTTATTTTCTCTAACATGGATAAATCTTCTTTCCAAGTTTTGTCATGCATGATATTTCTGAGGATTATTGTATTATCTGTCGAATTAAAATCATGCACAAACTTCTCACATTTTGAAACGATTGAATCTGGTAGGACACATTTCATTTTTCACAAGGCTCCTATTAACAAGACAGTTAGTAAAATAATTTATTTCGTGAATTATATAAAATGATCATTATTTACCATGAAAGCACGTTTTTGCCTTTGACTTAATTTTTTTACCACAACTGACTCATCACTTAAAACCATATTTGTCTCCGGGTCTTGCCATGAAAGTTTAGAAGGGATGATATAGTCAACCAAATTTTTCTTGAGGGCATCATAGAGAGGGGCATCCAAGTCAGATGATGGTTTCTGTATGAGAAAAGACATTGTCTAAAATTTCGAATCGAGTAAGAGAGAAAACAAGTTCCGGATACTTACACTAAGCTTCGACTTTAATGTATGATAGTTTCACTCAATATCCTCTTGTGTTTGATCTGAACTAAATTCTTTATCCTATATAACAGGTTAGCTTATATCAGAGAATTTCTGCTAAATGGGCTTATCTTTTGGTCTGAATTATAAGATACTTACCATATTCAACGCTTTTATTGA